AAAAGCGCCCCCGGCAGGTCAGCAGAAAGTGCTCCGATAGCAGCGTAGGGTCTCTAAGCAAATGCAAAGAACTAAAGGGGAACGCGGAAGACTCGTTGGCGGTCGCAGCGTCCCGTTAAGTGGACATAAGGCGCCCCGGGAAATTGCAGGGGCCCATGAGCATATGACACATGACTACACATGAGCAGCGCAATGAGCCTTGAAATCCCCCCCCCCCCCCCAACCACTACACTTTTAATGAGCGAACACATTTTTGGTCTTTTCAGGGCCTTTCATTTGCGCTGACAGGCCCCTTGGCTGCCTGCTGACCCAAAGACGTCTATTGTTTGCATTTCGTGTCACAAAAACCGCGATTATTCGGCCGCTTGCAGGCCCTCTGGAGCTAACGTGCACCTTTGGGGCCCCAGGGGATGATCCCGTGTCCGCCTCACCCTCTGGATCTGCCACCGGTTTCAGTAATGGCGTAAGCCACAATGTGGCAAGCTTACCTCCGCTGCGATCATGTCAGCGAGCCATCACTAGAAGTACAGACGCCGCCAGGTTAACGCGCGGTGGCCGTCCCACCCACGTCGGGGTAGGTGAAGTTGGGGCCGGACCTCGTAGGGGTGGGTTTAGGACCGGGGCCGAAGGGATGGAGTTGGGGCTGGTCCTCCCATGGTTGGAGTTCGGGTCGGCCTGCGCAGGAGTGGAGTTGTGGCCGGTCCTCGCGGGAGGTGGGAGGTTGAAGTTGAGGTCGACCCGCCCAAGAGTGGAGTTGAGGTCTGCCTGCACAGAAGTGGAGTTGAGGTCTGCCTGCGTTGGGGTGGAGTTGGGGTCGGCCTGTGCCGGGGTGGAGTTGGGGTCGGCCTGCACAGGGGTGGAGTTGGGGTCGGCCTGCGCCGGGGTGGAGTTGGAGCCGATCTGCGCAGAAGTGGAATTGGGGTCGGCCTGCACAAGGATCGAGTTGGGGCCGGTCTGTGCAGAAATGTAGTTGGGTCGGCCTGCGCAGAGATGAAGTTCGGGTTAGCTTTTGCAGGGGCGTTGTCGGCCCACTCAAGCAACAATGCACAAAAGCTGCCTGAGCTCAGTGCAGACGGCGGACATAGCGACGTCACCATGTTAAGTGATGAATGGAGTCAGTGGATGTCGCTGTGCAAGTGTTCGGCGTTCGGCAATGCCTGCGTTTGGCGCGGTTGGCGTCAACGTTTTTAGCAATACGGTGAGTGACGAATGCACTCAGAAAACGCAAGTGCACCGATGTTGTAACGCGTGCTGCAGGAGTCCGTGGATCATACTGTGCCATAACAGGCACTGTATGGCGCAAGTGCACAGATGTAACGCGTGTTCCAGGAGTCGGTGGACTATACTGTGCCATATCAGGCGCCGATACGGCGGACAGATCTATGCGCTTACAGCCCATGTCCGTTACAGTCGGGACTCCATCACGGCAGTGAGTAATGAGGACAAGCGGACATGGCTGCCCTGTTATGAAAATGTCAGCACGGTTGTTGTGATGGGAGCTAACGGTACCCTTTAACCAGCTTGCGCTCCTACTGCGGTGCACTTGTGAGTACAGTACGGGAGCGGGCCAGCACAACTTCAGTTCGCGTTTAAAAAAGCCCGCTGGACAAGCCAAAGGACAACTCAAAGCACATATACAACACAAGGTGACGGACGAGAAGACAGCATGGATGCAAGTCAATGATGGCACGAGTAACAGCGTTGCTCACTGGGTGCCCGTACCCAGGGTACCGTTACCTTGTTTACTTCATCTTGTATACTTGATACTTTCACCCGCGCCCGCGGGTAACGGTACAAAGTGAACAAGTAGGTACTCAGGACGCTGAAATAGAAGACTTTAGGACTTACGTCTGGCCTGAAAGAGAAAGTCGCTGAATGCCCACGGATAGGCCTGTGGATTCAATGGTATTCGCACCTCACATCGCTCCGTCTGCTAGTTCGGGCCCGCCCATCCTCACCCACCAAGCTAGGAGGCCAACCTCCGAATCTTTACGATGCCATACGCAGCGCGTCTCGAGGCCATCAGGTGGTCGCTTATCATGAGTACCCTGGTATCCTCTATGCCTCCAAAAGTTTCCCTTTCTGGTCATTTTCTGGGACAGTCTCAAGCAACACAAGCGCCCACTGTAGGCGACGGCGCGCAGCGGCAGCGCCCCTCGTGAATCCCGCTTTTTCTTCGCAGTGTTGGCTCTGGATAGACACGTGCCTGGGTCCCATTGTTGGTTGATGTTTTCAAGAAAATGAGATCCTGGATTCTCGGCTCCAGCCGTTTTTTCATAAGCCAGCTCCCGGTTTCTGGATCCCATTAGTTGTGTTGCAAACACAGCACCCTGATTCCTGGTACTCATGGATTTTTTTCGGAAATAACAAGAGAGATTCTTGGTTCTACTGTTTTCTTCACAAATACCAGAACATAATTCCTGGTTGTCACTGGCTTCCCACAAACACCAGCCGCTGGCTCTTGGTTCTTACTGGATATCATACAAACGCTAGACCCTGGTCCATGGCTCTGGCTGATTCATTCGCAAAGACCAGGCCCGGGCTCGTGATTTCCACCGACTCCTCATGGATAACGAATCACTGGTGACTAGTTCCTAATGTTTAACTCAGAAAACACCTGATCCAAATTCCTGCTTCGTCGTTTTCTTTTTCGTTTCTTTTGAATATGTTTCTTCATTGTTCTCACTGCTTAGGCACCTTGAAATACCATTCAGCATTATTTAACAATGAAAGTACGCCGTCTGAAATAACGGTATGTTGCATGTTTACCAGCAGGCAGTTACGACAAGCGCAACGTGCATAGGCCTGGCTCAAGCCCGATGAACTCGACAGGTTGCGGAAATTCCTCGGATTTCAGCATACTGCGGCATGACCGCGGTTGTCGCCCGGCTGACAACAGCCCAGCACACCCAGCCGCGCGCCAGCCGTGCGGAGACGGTGTCGCCCGGCTGGCAACAGCCCAGCAAAGCCAGGCGCGCAGAGGCGGTGCCGCCGACCGACACCGGCCCAGAAGACCCAACCGCGCGGAGACGGTCGCCTGGCTGACACCAGCCCAGCAGAATCAGCTGCAGGGTTGGTGTCGCCCGGCTGACAACAGCCCAGCAGAGCCAGACGCGCGGAGGCGGTGTCGCCCGGCTGACATCAGCCCAGCAGACCCAGCCGTGCAGAGGAGTCGCCACACTCGTTGCGGTCTCCCGCGCGTGGTGAATCTCGACGTAAGTGGTGCTGATCCCATGGTGAAGCCCCTGTGGCTTTCGGTGAGGGGCCCGGCCGCCGCACCGTGGCGATCGGTGCCATCTGGCGGCCGTTGGGAGGATCAAAATCCCGATGCTTGGAAAGCGTACAAGACCAGCCATGGGCCGCCGTTGCCACAAGAAAACGGCATTCGCACTGAGACTACAACCTCCATTCAATCAAAAACCATCCGATTGCAAACAGTTCAGACCAAGTTGTTGGCCATAGGTCACCACACGGTTGTACTTTTTACGTGTCAGTCTCATGGTCTGTTCCGACGCTTCCTGACGCCGCAGCTCAAAGCATGATGCTTGAGGCAGCTCGTCCATCGTGTCCAATGGTGCACCACACGGGCAGCCTCTCGCGGGGGCTCGCGCCAGCAGCGGTGTATTCGGCGAATCGGCAGCATCTTGAGTCGGAGTCAGGCCGGCAGCTCGTAGTCAGGCCGTAGTCAGGTCCGGCAGCTCGGTCGGTGGAAGCCCTCGCTGGCGCCGACACCGAGAGGACAACACTTCGGGGTCGAGGAGCAGCTCCTGCAAGCGGTCGGTGGCGAGCAGCACCAAAAACGAGCAGGAACATGAAGCCAGGTCGGCCACGTCACGTGGCGTCCGGACACCCGCAGCTAGGCCTATCGCCGCGGACGGGCGTGGCGGCTCCGGGACTGCAACGCCGCTGACGAGAAGGGCGATGCACATCTGCGGGTGCAAAGCCAGGCAGGTCCGGAGCCAGCAGCATCCCACCTCGTGTCACACAGAGTCGTGGCTCACGTCCGGTAGACCGCTCTGACGACTTATGATATTCATTGCATTTAACAATAATGCCGTATTACGAGGATAGGCAAACCAGCAGTCAACAATAACAACACTAAATATTACCAACTAGCCTAAGCAGTATCCAGTCGTTTTTACTAGTTTTCTATATAACATGGCTCTTTAGACCCAACCAAGATGTAACTGGACACCAAACAGCACACAGGTCACTGACGGTGATAACTTAAAAAGGCATCCAGGAACATGCAGGCAACATCATCGCATGGTTCTTCGCATATTAGTCAGCAGTTACAAGCAGATGTTGGCAGATTCCTGATTCTTACCTTCACACTCGTGGTTCTTTCCATGCCTCACCCCACCCCCCACCCCCTTCACTTGCAACACTGCAGTGAAATGGCATCACGTCACTGCGCTGGATTAGCCATGAAGACAAAATGGCCTCGCCAAATAGAATCAAACGCTGTGGAAAGCAGTATAGGTGATAACAGTCCTGGCCGATATGAACCCTGAGGTTATCAGCAACATTACGTTTTAAATCTACCATTTATCTCCTATAACGCCGGCATTTTGCACACAGCGGATCGAAGCAAAGGCGGCGTAGAGCGAGCTCTCCTCCCGATGCCGCGAATTACAGCGGCAACTGGAATATCCCCGAGGTTTAAAACTGTGACGTCACTTTTATTGACCAGTCACATGCTTAGGCTGGCGTCCAAATTTACAGCAAGGATTTAGGAACGGCAGCACTTTTTATTAATATCGAAGATACCGGATGATATCTCTATGCATCAGTTCCCTTAGTCAAATTCCAACGCGTCGTGAGTGCGGAATCCATCACTCACACGTCCGTCCTCGTCAATGACGAAACATCGCCGGAGTAGTGTTCTGATGGATGGTGTCAATAAATGGGTATTTCTTAGTTTGTCAGACCTGTAAACGTCCACTAACACGCGTAACCAGCCGTATCCACATTCCAGTAAACGAAGTGAACCCAAGGAAATTTGTTCCAAATGTATTTCAGGTCATCCACATGGTTAAAATATGCAGGCCTCCAACGACATCACTTTCCAGTTGACGAGTCCACAGCTTAGCCAATTACCAATCAGCTGACGGTCTCTGACGTAGTGCAGCCGGGTTTTCATTCTCTATCATCACAGATATGCATTTCGGTAACCATGATAGTAGCTAATCTGACGGAAGCCCAGCCGTCGCAACGCGGCCAACCAGTCACCATCACAGATACGCGCCTGCGGAGCTATCACAGAGGACAGGCCACCACGCACCAGCACCCATCCCCTCACCCTGCGGCGGCCGCGGCCACACCCCATACCGAGAGACAGAAAGAGACGCCATCACACCAGGGACGGTGGGCGGCAGCAGCCGACCGCGGCCCGTCCGCCGACAGACCGTCTACCCGCCTGACGCGTGCCGGGCCCGCGGCCGGGGCGCCGGCGCCCGCGAGCTCCCGCCACACGGCAACCCCACCGCCGCCGTACAAAACAAGGCACGTGGATGGGCCGGTACACATGCGCTGCTCGGTTTGCACATGACCGGACTGCAGACGGTCGCCTCCAGCAGGCCGCCGCCGCCTGACTGGGCTAGTGCCGGTCACATGGCCGACCGCGACCGGCGCCGCCACCGGTCCCCCGACCGACGCTTGTGCTGCGACCGTTCCCGAAGGCGGACGCAGTCCTGCCGCGCAGAGGGGTCACGTGGGGCTGACACGGGACGCTCGGCATGGTCGCCCATCGGACCGCTGCAAGCACACGCCTCGTCCGGCGCTACCCATCGGTATCAGAACTAACGCCCACCATCAACGCAGGCGGAGGAACTGGGGGGAGGGTGGGGCGACGCCCGAGCCTCTGTCGCCCACGCAGAGCTAGTACTAGACACTAGCAGTACGGAGCGCGGGAGTAGGAGACGGCGCCTCATTCCTTCTCGTCCTCCTTGTAGTGCCGATACTCGGGCTTCAGTTCGTACATGTTACGGTGGGGGTTCTTCAGGTTGTAATTGCAGACCTCGTTGAGGATTTCCTTCAGGTACGTCTGAGGGCGAGACAGGTCAGGGTCCCGTAAGTCGGGCAATCGCACACTAGGTTTCACACAACAGCTGCTCGATGACTCCAGGCAAATGCTGCCAATGGTGCGTGACGGGTATGTTTGGCACACCAGTGACAGACAGCACCATGCTCTTCCCTCCCCGCTCCAAACGTGTCCTTGAATGTCTAGTGTATATGCCTATTGACAAAGGCAGCTGCCGGGCAGACATAGACAAGCACTCGGAACAGCAAACATGACCATCTTAAACAGAAAACAAAGCCGGGCACGAAATCGTCGTCGTTCCGGCTTGACAACGCACTCAAGAGCCGTTGTAGGCAATAATCTGTCCACCCTAGAGGACAAGCAGCATAACACTCAGCGGTTTGCACTGTGATTCCCCGACTCATCGTTCCATTCCTACGGTGAGGCGTTATCAAAAGACAAAAACGCCCGCGTCGCATCGCTGGTCAAGGCGGATGGCCGAACACGCCGGTCATCCGGCGCCAAGGTCAATTGGAGCACCATCGAACACGGCGAGCTATCATCGTACGAAAGCTTCTCGTGGCGTAGACGAATGGTGTAGACGAATGAACCGTCCACAACCCTCTGGACAGCTCAACACTTGCGTGTATACATGTACATATATGTTTATATATATATATATATATATATATATATATATATATATATATATATATATATATATATATTATACGGGCTTCCCTTCGCACGATCGACACATGGGGAAGCCCGTAATCAACTGGGATAAGACCACTGTCGCTTATATCAAATAAGAGGCCATTGTCGGCATTCTTTAACAGGAGGTCACCATCGCGTTAAGGTCCCGAGGATAAGTAATTGGGCCTGAGCCAAGATAAATGGGGACTTAGAAAACAAACGGACATGCACATCCAAACATTGTGAGCAGCATCCGCCCCGCATATCCCCATTTTGCCCCCCCCCCCCCCCAAAAAAGGGCCCAAAGTGGATGAACTCAATTGCACATATTACTCTCACCAAAAGGGCCAGCCTGGCTGGGCACAAAGTCAGTTGATTCGCTGGCAGTAATTTGTGAATTATCGCATGAACACTACGCCGGAGAGCTTCCCAGTCTTCTAAGGTCATATGGAAGGCGATGATTCCAATGCAATAGGGTCCTGTACCTGATTTCATACCCTTACGTTTCGGTATTTCTATATAACACACACGTCTCCGGCCCGCGGAAAGCCTGAACCTTGCTGAAAGGTGTGGAGAATACTCATACACATTAAGCACTCTTCCCAGCCCAACTTGGCCATTGGTGGACAGGATATTTCTGCAGACTGTCACCGACGGCTGCAAATGACCCAGTCGTCCGTCACCCGTCCCAGTGCGACTTATAGGTCACCGACTCTTGACTGATAGCGTATGACGGGCTCTTTTGCGGCACAGAGCTCAGCAGCAACAGAGGCGACGGTAAGTGCAGACACACAGTCTGAGCCCGGCGAAAACATCTGGCACTTCTGTGCACAAGCGTCCCGCGGCTTACCTAACAGTGACGGTTAGTTATACAATGGTACAAGTGCTTGCGAGGGTACTCCACGAACTAGGTGACGCACATAGCATTGTAAGGGGACATCAGTTCTCAGCCAAGTTTATGTCGGCATGCGTCGATCGGTAAACGCACGGGCTTTTGCTGATCCCATCCGAGTTGAAATGGTCTTACGTCACTCACTTTCACCTGCATCGTCAATGCTTGCACGTAAAAACTGTTATCGACATAATGTGCGGCTACCGAATGGCATGATGTTCAGGACGCCTAATGACTGGAATACATCCGGAACTGTGCGAAATCGTCCCAGATGTGTTCAACTCAACACCCCCAATTCTGTCCTGATTGTGTTCACCGCGTCAGACAAACATGATACGCGCAAAGCACATAGCACAACTGTGGCGATACGGCTGAGCGGGTGGGAAGGCGGGGCAGCCGGGCCGGGAGCCGGGCGATCTGAGGGAAAGTCGGGCCAGGGGCCGGGCTGTCTGATGGACAGCCGGATTAGGGGCTGGGCTGTTTGGGGGACAGCCGGGTTAGGGACCGGGCTGTCTGAGAGACAGCCGGACTAGGGGCTGGACTGTCTGAAGGGCAGCCGTCTGGGGGCCGGGCTGTCTGAGAGACAGCCGGATTACGGGCCGGGCTGTCTGAGGGACAGTCGGACTAGGGGGAGGGCTGTCTGAGGGTAGCCAGACTAGGGGTCGAGCTGTCTGAGGGGCAGCCGGACTAGAGGTCGGGCTGTCTGAGGGGCAGCCGGACTACAGGTCCGGCTGTCTGCGGGGCAGCCGGGCCGGGAGTCGGGTTGTCTGAAGAGCAGCCGGGCCAGGGGCCGGGCTGTCTGCGAGGCAGCCGGGTCGGCAACCGGGCTGTCTGAAGAGCAGCCGGGCCAGGAGCCGGGCTGTCTGCAGGGCAGCTTACCACAGGCTGACGGCTGATGGTGGCCAGGTCACGGATGTTGTAGTACTGGTGCTTCTCGAATGCGGCGAACAGCACGTTCAGCACCTTGTCCTTGTCGTCCCGCACCTTTTTGCCCTCGGACTTCTTACGCTGGACAAACTCCATCTGGGACAGACGGGCGTCGTGCGAGCATCTAGCGACCACGGCCCACCACCACACTCAAGGGTCGAACAAGCACACAAACCTCATCGACAGTGACCACAAACACGGAGGCTTCACGAGATTGCATCGTGCTTGGTACGGCGTACCATGTCGCCGTAGCTCTCAATGTCAAACGAATGTCGATCGAGACACAAACGACCATCGAATCGCCGCACGGCACCAGCTGATGCAACAGGTTTGTTCTGCTGGCCGCTGGGCGAGTGTTGCCATCAGCACCGTCGCCGCCCGCGACCGCTCAGGTGCGGTCCGGCTCGGTCCGGTCCGGTCCGGTCCGGTCCGGTCCGGTCCGGTCCGGTCCGGTCCGGTCCGGCCCGGCCCGGTCCGGTCCGGTCCGGTTCGCCCACTGCCAAACCCCTCTCACGTTGTAGCGATGGTTGGCCACCGGCTTGACGTGCACCACGTCGTCCAGTCGCTTGGCCATGCGGGTCGGCACAGCAGACTTGCGGAACCCCTCCAACTTCAGACGCATGTACGTCTCGTTTCCTGCAGCGAAGGCATACGCTCGCGACTGCGTACCAATGTCACGGGAAAAGATAGATGGCGTGCGCGCACCTGTGCGCGGCGCGCGTACACAGGAAAGCATGCATGTGTGACTGCGCACGAGTGCTAGCGCCACTGCCTCTGAGTGCGGGAACAAGCTATGACGCCGTGGTACACAGTGCGCAACAGCAGACTTAGTCACTCCACAGGCCGGACCGGACGCGGACGGGAGCCGGCGTCGGCCGCCGCCGGTCGGGGTCCGTCCCGCTCCGATCCGGGTCGCTTGGGGCGCGGTCAGCTGACGTGCGGTGGCATGTGACATCACATGGTGGCGCGTCCGTCACAGCGTGGACAGCTGACCCGGATATCGAGAAGTCGGGGCTGCACTGAGGCCTCAGCGGACCTTGAAACTTTGGGGCAAAATGAAGGTCTCCTCTTAGTAGCTGAGACGAGTTAGCACTCGTCTCCACGCACGCAAATGATCCGCTACGGTCATTGGCGTCTTAAGCTACCGCATCACTTGTGTAGGTTCGGTGAAATGCTCGCAATGCGCAGGCCGAATTCTCAAACACAGCTGACGTTCTTCATACGTTCTCAGGGAATCTGCCGGCTGTGTCGCTCCCCCGCCTCCCCCCGAAATCGGAGGCATGAGCCACAAAAAACGCGCCTTAAAATCACAAGAAGGATAAATCCGTTTTCGAAAATATGTGCCTCGTCCCGCAGATGAACCATCGAACTTCAGTAATACTCCGAATTACGACAACGTTCCCCGAGGGTAGCAGTCTCTACGCTCACCGATCGGTCGGCACTCCGCCCTCTGGATGACCTTGCCCTCCATAGTCAACTTCTCCGTCTCTGGCACCACGGCGTTGCTGTTTGCTGGCGCTGGAACGACACGAGCCCCACCATGAGGACGGCGCGGCCCTGGGCGGCACGCACACCTCATCCGGCGTCGGCACCGACTGAGACCATTCGCATGCGGCAGCTCCCCACTGGACACGTGTCGTTTACTCTTTCATGTTGTCAATTATAGATGCAGAGAAGTCATTGAAAAATCAAACCGAAGAGCCTGCTTACGCCTCACACGAGGTTCTAAGTGTGATTTTCAATACCAATGGAGTCCAAACAAACATGGCGTGAGAGGGAAACGGTGGAATATCCTGAGCCGCGCGGGAGAGTTTAACTCCAGGGCCACAGAAAGGCTCCGCTCTCAACTCCGTTTAACTCTCAACAAACTGAGAACGGGACAACACAGTGTGCAGCATCCGCCAACTAAAGTAGTTCAGTCCATTTCCGGTACGCACAACCAGAGGCATTCCCATTTACCGATGCAATTCCATCAGGAACAGCCCGCAATCGCACGCATTCTGTCCGGCCCTTACTCGCGGGTACGTCATCAAAGGACATTGTTTCATCAGCATATTGCACTTTCGGCGGCGGGAAACGTCATCAGAAAACCATCACACATAGAGATACCCACGGACGGTTTGTGAGAAGACACCCAGGGTCTGGTTGTTGACGTTGCTGATCACGAACTTGTGGTCTTTCGGAATCGTCTCCGATTTCTCCATGGCCATCACCGCCTCGCTGAGCGAGAACGAGACGTCCAGCTTACGCGCTGGCGTCCTGTGGATAACACACAATCAGGCTAGTACTTAGACTTGGCGGTTGCTTACCCAGAGACGCCTCATTGTAGGATTCAACAAAGCCAATGTTGATGCCATGACCTCAGCCGTGACTTAAACATGTACTGAAACAAAACAAGCACGCGCTGCAAGCAAGCTTAGACGCATGTCGGGCCAATCATTTTGGGATATTATCGGGAACCGCGAGAGCAATCGCGGGGAAGGGAAGTCGGAGCCCATCCAGCACAACACAAAATAAATATCGAAAAATGATCCGTTCTTCGCAAACATTTTCGAGACTTCAGATCACGACAGGAGTGGATAATGTTTAATAGGACGCTAGGAAAACGGACGCATCGACGGAAGCACAGTAAAAATAAGCACAGGCAGTCATTACAACGCATTGGGATGCTAAGTCACCATGGAGCAGTGCATGCCTCGATAACCAGAAGGAAAATGATCGCATGCACCAATTACGGTCTGGGTGGCCATAAATTGATTCTGCCCGCGAAAGCAATTAACAGGGAAACTGTTACAAGGTAACTTAATCATGTAAAATATACCGTCAACAAAATTCGGAAATACGCGGCTCACTGCGTAAGCAGCTGGCTTGTATCCTTATGATTCTAAAAGAACACCAATACCCCTCGTAGTTCTCCAACTGTCCTAAGCCTTACCTTGCAATTCGCAGTTTTCCGACTTCGATATTTCCGGGCGCCTTATCCCACCTCTGGGAGATGTATTTTGGAACCTGCGGCATAGTGACTGTGTTACTTACACGTAATCCACGAGTGACAACACGAGATGCTTAAACCGTCGGGTCTTCATATGGGCATAAATCGGTATAGGGAAGAGAAGATGCATGGATATAGAAGACACATGGGTCCACGCGATCCGCTTGCACAAACGTAGCGCGGTCTGGGGACCCTCGGGTAACCTTGACAACATTCAATCGAGAGGGCGGGAGACCGACATCCAGGGACCAAGGGCAAATGAAATAAAAAAGCTCCTCCCATGCCCAGACTGTGTATCCACACAGAGGCAGCCAAAAGCATGCCACTGTCTGCAAAACAAGAGTCTGTGATCGTTCCGTGCGAAACACGCTACGAGCCCCCTACCTCAGGACATCCCACAAACCTCACTAAAAACACAGCTGGAGCGCACGTATCCCATATGATACCACCATGATACCACGTATCACACATGGCCCGTGAGCACTTCCAGCCATACGCTTCATACGATGTGCGAATTGTCACGGATTTTACACTCAAAAGACAGTGCAAACACATACATTCCACGAAGTACATAGCAGATGGCGAGCCGCAGTCTGCGACGTCCCCGGGGGAAGGAGAGGGGCTACCGGAGGGTGGACGGTTCTACAGATCGGTACCAACAGAAACGGCACCATCGGCACGCTCCAGTCAGTTCAGTAAGAAATGGTAAAAAGGTTCGAGATGTCCGTTTCGTCTTTAATTCATGACGAAAAGCAGCAGCAGCATCGCCAGCGCCATCTTTCGGCAGCTGAGATGGCGGTGAGGTGGCCTCTGCGGCGCGCGCAGCTCAGCCGGCTCACCTGACCACCCGTCACAAATCGTCACGTGCCACCTAGCTCCGGCACCGGGCCTGACATGTCAGCTCCTGCGCACTCCTAACCCCGTCCGCCCTGTTCTCCTTATCCGCCGCCTTCGTCAGAGATTATCGTAATGGCGCGTGCTGTGGCTGGGGGCCGTGACTGGGCCTCACGGCCGGCCCAGACGGAATCCCCCCCCAGCACCGGCACAGACGCCCATGACTCGCTCCCTCGTGGGGAAGACCCGGGGCACCAGCGAGCCCCCCCCCCCCCCCCGCCCTCCACAATCCACTAGCTCTGAAGCGATCGCTCTCTGGCGATGTAGATGCAATGCAACGTTTTCATCTTTCGAAAGGGCTTTAAAGAAGAGCCTACCTCAGCCGGACTATCGGTCTCCCTCCCCCCCCCCCCCCCCCCAGGCCATCCCCGACAGTCGCCGCAAGGAGCGATGAAGAGGGCCCGTGGCTGAAACATCTACGTGCAGCTCCCTGGCCCTTTTCCGGAACCGCCACCGCAGTCCAGTCTTCAGGCCGCCAACCCAGACGATCCAGCGGACACACGTACCACACCATCCGGAGGGCTCTCCGGAAGCTCCGTCGCCATGCCATGTTAATGAACTATGACGAAGTATGGGACGGCATCAACAGACGTCTTGATGATACACGCTAGTTCGCGAGGCTCGCTAGCAGTAAATGATTCCTTGAAGTGTGTGGTACAGGACAACTCTCGAGCCCACTGGTCACTTTGGCCAGCCAATGATTTCTTCACGGTCAAACCACGTAAATGCTTCGCAGTTCTCCACGGTCAAACCACGTAAATGCTTCGCGGTTCTTCACGGTCAAACCACGGTCAAACCCCGTCCACGTCAATGACATAGTTCATTGCCCCGTTGACTGGGATGGCCTCCGGCTGGTGACAGCGGCCGTGCCAAGGTCAGGCGGTGTCGGTGTTTGGGACGAACCGCGCCAAGCTTCATGGCACATCAAGCTTTCGCAGCACATCAGGGCTCACCCAGCAAGCTCTCCTTAGCGTGGGCGTTGGTTCCAGAAATCCATTCAATTGACAAATTTGGACTTGCCTTTACTAAAGCCTTCATCCGAGCTTAGGTTGTACACGGACCAACATTTTTCTTTCTGCACTGGCCCAGGTCCCAAACACGTCAGCATAAATGGCCCGAACTGTCCCTCGTAAACGTCACTTTTGTACTTTTTCTTCCAAGCATTAGGACTGTCTCACCTGGAACGCCACCAGCTGACCTTCCGGGGCCCGTCCAGGTTTCGTTACACACCCTGGACACTAAGCTGCACACTGTACTTGTATCGTGACTGTAACGCGAATAGGAAACACGCAGAAGAAAGCACTGCACCCGTATGCCTGACGCACGAGTGAAAACAGGCGCCGCCCGGCCAGCGTCGGCTGCGACTGACGGGCGCCCGAATCAACCCAGCGACGGCGGCGGCTCTTAGACGCCCCCTTGTTGTTGTAAACCTCACGTTCCCCCATTAGGAATGAACTTTAAGCTTTTCATGTCATCAAGTCAGTGAATCTCACCTCCCCAGCCTTGATCTCGCCGCGCGCGAGTGTATGCGCTGCCGCACACCGCTACTGCGAGTCTGATGGCTGCAGGTAAACAACCGGCAGCACCCTCCATTTCACTGACCGCCAGCAGTTGCGTGCAAGGTTTAGAGCCGAGGTTTAGGAGCGCCTAAGCAATATACTGGCAGCTGAACAACTGAGGCACCTAAGCAACATCTGGAGGTTCGAGCGCTGACTGCAGGGTATAGGGTGCACTAGCAGACATGCGCCGGGTCCCGCCCATTGGTTCAGGGTCATCAATGAATCTCTGAACAAAACAAAACACTGGAGTCTGATTACCACTGCTTCTTGGTACCACTGCTTCTTGGCTTCTCTCAGATCTTGGATCTCGTCTCTCACTTTTTTCGACTAGACTAGAGACCCCCTCTATGAAACTTCCATCCCCTTGGTGAAACCCCGGCTACATGCATGCTGTCAACATTGTCTAAAACGAACACATGAATCCGCGCAACTTACCTTGACCAGCCAGACGCCCCTGGCAGCATTTGTGCAATCCAACTCTGCTTCCTGTATTTGGGTGGCCATTGCAATCTGCAAACAGTAGTCTTTTGTCAAGCTGGCTTAATGAGCAAGGGTGCATCAGTGTGCATCAAGCGTGCATCGAGTCCTAAGAAACTGGGGTAGTGTCCGAATTTGGGTGGACTTGTTAACTCGAAGATGGCACCAATGGCTGCAGACTGCTCCTTGAACTGTGAATCCTGAAATCTGAACTGTGAATCATGTGAACTGTGACTCCTATTACTGTTGTGACTCACATGTTAAGGTTCTTCCAATGGTAAGGCCTCAGTTGTTGCAGTTTCAGTGTTCATTGTTATCAGAGAGGTACCATGAATCATAGCTTTAATGCCCAGAATGAGAAGTTGTGAATTGATGCACTTGTTTTCACATTAATTTGACCAAACTGGCCAATAGCCCAGGCAAGTATGGTTCCTAGCCAATCCATCATTTCTGAGATGCTCCTTTTGACCACAGATCAAGATCTGTGAGTCATCAGCTAACCAAACCACAGTTGTACTACTAGTGTACAGGCTTATCTCATTGAAAAAAGGAAACCATGGGGCAGTTAAATACAGCTATGCAGTGAAAGCACTCTGGCAATAACAAAAACTAGACCAGAGTCGATAAGACAACTGAATTGTGCATTTAAAGCATGCAGAACACAGCATGTAAAGAAAATACTTCACTATACATAACATGAACCTGGAGCTCTAAAAATTTTGATGACCTCCATCAGCTGTGTTGAAATGAATACTACATGGCAGCTCAGACATTCTTTCCTCTTTTTACCTGTTAAGTAATGATAAGAGACCTAAGTGTAGAAGCTGCTAAAGGAGGGCCCACATCTAAAAATCTGTAGGTGACATTTGGAGATAATCCAAACATCAGTAGAGCTGGCTGATAAAAACTGAATATCTTGCTTTAATCTTTGCCTGGCAAGATATAACCATGAAAGATAACATGCTAAAGTGACATAATATGGCTACCTGAGACCAGGTTGTGCTCTTCTTTTGCCAACTGTGTGTTTACTTTTCTGGTCAGACCAATCAATGCAGACATTCCAGGACCAATACCTGATCCTGGTGATACTGGATTATAAGTCCAGTGGCCTTCCTCTGGACTAATTAAGCTGAAGGTGCATGGGTTTCAAAAGTAATTGCCCTTATTCTGCTGGTATAATGTTATCACAATCTCCAGTGGCTGATATGCAAAACAGACATTTTATCTGTTCTTAAGTTTGAGGACCATATCAATGCCAAGATCACTCACATATGCACCCATATTGATCATGAGCACTGAAAACAATATAAAATCAACAATGCTATTAATCTTCAATAACATTACACAGTGCGGGCATAGCTGGCTGGTCTGTATCCCACAGCTGGGATACAGGGATGACCAAACACCTGAGTATGTTTTCCAAGTGGAAATCACACCTTTCTGACTCTGATATTATTAAATGAGATCTTGCATTTCTCAATATCATACATAGCAGCTAAGCAAAACAAGCAAATAACAGAAAATGGTGTGCTTCATGGTAAAGGCCTGTCTCTTTAGTGCCCCCTACCATCAGGTTGCTCACAGCTGCCTGGCTGGCAAAGCAGAAGCAAGCTGTACTTAAGAAGGTGAAGAACATTGTTAATCAAGACATGCTGCGAAGAACATACACCACAAATTTAAAAGTCTGAAGAGGGACAGTAGTCAGGCAGCCAGCTGGCACCTGGTGGAAATAGGCATAAAGGATGTCTCTCAGCAAACCTCTGCATTGCTTTTACAACCCAAGATTACAATATAAATAATTGGAATTTGTGCTGTGCATACATCCACCTTTGTAAGTAAGGGACACAAGTACCAAACCAAAACAAATGCTATACCTATACACACAAATTATTTTGTCTGATTGACCAGAATTTTTTCATCTGAAAACATCCTCTATTCATGTACTTCCATTCTTGGTAAGACAAAACAGCTTGGCCACACAACATTCAACCTGAATTACAAGTATCACTGTGAGATCAAATAGGTGTTGCCTTAGTTGGTGCGAACTGTATCAGCCTTAAAAACCAAAATTTGACAGTGCATCCTCCACAAGACACACACCATGTTTGGCATGTTAGGCTTTTTCAGACTTGAGGTTTTTATTCACATGCATCATGCACCCAACATCAAACCACCACACATAAAAATGTATCCAACTGTTCAACCACGTCTCTGCTATCGAAGTGGGGTGGGAAGCAAATCAGGATTGGAGGGATCAAACTGAAGCGGAGAGGGCCTCAACCAGGAAATAAGATTTCGTACGAAAAACGTGGAAATTACCAGCTTGCCTCTGGCAATTGTCTCTGGCAAATTGCCTTGCATTCAACGGGCAAAATTGGAGAGATCAAATATTATGCTGCGAAAATTGGGAGACAAGCTCCCCACCATGCTTATAACCATCCGTACCGCTGGAGCCCCCACTGTTCCTCGCCGCCAACCCGCGCAGGCGTTCCGTTCCTTCACACGTGGGGCGAGACGTGCACCTGCACCAGTATGTGTCGTCTTGAGTGGCCTTGAGAGAGCCGGCCCAGCTGTTCATTGAGGTCTGCGATTGTATACACATTACAGCTGATCAAGACGTCATTAAAACAATCTTCTCTTCAATTAATGTTTTGCTCGAAAGTTTTGCTGAAAATTAATGAAAATGCGTTAGACGCAAAATAAACAAATAATGCTGCGTTGCGAAAGGTCACATCACTCGACATAGAAACATATCGTTACGCGGGACAAGTTATTTGTGACATGGGTGTCAATTTCTCAAAACGATTGGGGGGGGGGGGGCAAGTCGTGGAAGTCGCCGAAAAGGACAGATATGACAAACTGCGCGGATGTTATCCACTGCACACTTAGATATAAGCATATGCATATACATGGCATATTTTGGAGGCCAAAATGTGCTTATCCACGGCAATCACATATATGGAAGCTGTAGTTTGCGTCAGCGCTATAGAAGTACGCCAGTTGCGTGTAACAGTAAGGACGCAATCGCACCTTTCTTTTGCATTTGCCTGCCTTTCTCTGTTTTCCCTCAAGTGTGAAACTTGTGTGTAATATGCCGTTGTAAGCGGTCTCTCAATATCTGGAAGGACGTGTCTTACCTAGCTGTGTAGGTAGTATTTCAGGCATTTTTTTCGCTTTTGGCTCGGTATGAGATGTTGTCGCCGGGAATCGTAAAAATTTTGCTGGGTCTCTATGGATGAAGCTGGGTCTCAGAAACCATGTGGGCGCATGTGGTTCCAGGGTTAATTGTGTAAGCTGATGTACGCGACTATAAAGGCTGTCACGGAAAACCCGATAGGGAGCCGCAAGGCGGGCTTCAGGCTGCAATGCAGCACTCACGATCGACATGAACGGAACACTTATCGTTGTTTTGCTGATCACTGTCGGACGATTACCGCTAAAGGTTGAGTCGGTTGGTTTCGATCGTCAGGTTTTTTGTAACTGTTTCAATGAATGTTCAGGTCGAAGTGGAGGTCGGCACATTGGAAGAGGTTTTCTAAACATAGCAGTTGGTGAAGTCATCAGGTTTTTGGGTGCTAGATTTCGACCGGTTTTGGTTTGACACGCGCCCAGGTGGCCGGTTGAATACCCTTCACTCGGGTGAAGAGGAGGTCAATTTGACCCCCTGAAATATAAAATGCTAAGAAAACTGGCGACACCAAATTTATAGAGTGAATTGCACTACATGTAAACTCAGTTGTGTCAAAACATGATATTCCTATGTTCTGGCTTTTGAGTCAAATAAGGCCAGCCTCAAATTTGGTGTCCAAAGTGCCCCTAGACTCCCTCAACACGCGCTTGGGTGGGGGTCAAATTGACCCCCCCCCCCCCCGAAGGTTTTTCCAGGAAGGTTTCCAAACGACGTGGCGTAGCTGCGTCAAATTTTGCATAGCTGTAGATAATTGAATAGCGGATCGTCTGGCATTCAAAATTTGATGTACCTTTGTAAGGTTGCTGACTAATGGCAGGTTAAAGACAGGCCATAGTTTCATCGAAGACATTTCCTAGGGAACCGTTCAATCTGATCCCATAACGAAGTGTTATGCGAAGCCATACATCTCTGAGATACCTTCTTAGGCAACACAACAGTTGAATGAGCAGATTACATTGACTTAAGTTGAGATATGGAGGTCAGACCAAAGTAAAAAAAAAACAACCCGTTTTATTACTCTAGGGCTTGCTGTATGGGATAGTCTCTGGTACTCATTTCGAATTTGTTGATAGCGGGAACCGTATTGTGCATCTTCCATGGGTTTCTTAGAGGTCATTAACCTAAAGAGGTCTTAAAAAAGAGGTCTTAGAGGTCATTAACCTAAATTGACTGCGGTCAATATTTCGTTTTTAGGAGCATACTGCCTAGCATAACCTTTATCGCTTATTCAAATGCAAAACTCAGAGCAATCTTCTATACTTTTGGTCACTATGACCTTCAAAAGGTCAAACAAGGTCACTAACCTTAAATGAGCATGTGACCTTTTGCTGATAAATGGTTATCTAGGTTGTTGGGGCTCTTTGGAGACCACCCTGCAATTTGACCTTGTTTGACATTTGACCCGAACATAACGGCCTAGGAATCTGAAACTTTGACCTAAGTGAGTTCACGTACAGGCCAACACACCTGTAAATTTGGTATCTCTAGCTCTCTTAAATCCCGAGATCTCAGGGGATCAATTTGCCCCCCCCCCCCCCGCCCAACACGTACGAGCGCGTGTTAAGGTCGATAACCTGCAGAAATCAGGCGTTTAACGACTACATGGAATAAATCACCGGTGTCTTTAATTTGAGATGGCTTAGTCGACTCTTTCTGAACCGATAGGTGTTAAAAGCCTTTTCATAATGCTTTATCTACGTTCTACAAACATTGAGGACATCGCGAAGGTAGATTGTGGATCGATAAGTTTGATCGAAATTTGAGGGTGCAAATTTTGATTGTGCATCGAGTGGTCAACAATGTGTATTAACATCGCCAAGCCATGTACTTTTATGTACAGGCCAAGCCACGTACATTCATGGCGACTGAATGTTGACAAGGTTACCCGAGGGGCCCCAGACCGTCCTATGTGTGTGCAAGCGGATCGCGTGGGCCCATGTGTCTTCTATATCCATGCATCTTCTCTACCCTATACCGATGTATAGTCATATGAAAACCCGACGGCTTAAGCAGCTCGTGTTGTCGCTCGTGGATTACGTGTAAGTAACACAGTCACTATGCTGCAGGTTCCAAAATACATCTCCCAGAGGTGGGATAAAGCGCCCGGAAATATCGAAGTCGGAAAACTGCGAATTGCAAGGTAAGGCTTACGACAGTTGGAGAACTACGAGAGGTTTTGGTGTTCTTTTAGAATCATAAGGACACAAGGCAGCTGCTTACGCAGTAGGCCGCGTATTTACGAATTTTGTTGACGACGCATTTTGTATGATGAAGTTATCATGTAACAGTTTCCCTGTTAATTGCTTTCGCGGGCAGAGTAGATTTATGGCCACCCTGACCGTAATTGGTGCATGCGATCATTTTCCTTCTGGTTATCGAGGCATGCACTGCTCCATGGTGACTTAGCATCCCAATGCGTTGTAATGACTGCCTGTGCTTATTTTTACTGTGCTTCCGTCGATGCGTCCGTTTTCCTAGCGTCCTATTAAACATTATCCACTCCTGTCGTGATCTGAAGTCTCGAAAATGTTTGCGAAGAACGGATCATTTTTCGATATTTATTTTGTGTTGTGCTGGATGGGCTCCGACTTCCCTTCCCCGCGATTGCTCTCGCGGTTCCCGATAATATCCCAAAATGATTGGCCCGACATGCGTCTAAGCTTGCTTGCAGCGCGTGCTTGTTTTGTTTCAGTACATGTTTAAGTCACGGCTGAGGTCATGGCATCAACATTGGCTTTGTTGAATCCTACAATGAGGCGTCTCTGGCTAAGCAACCGCCAAGGCTAGGTACCGCCCTGATTGTGTTATCCACAGGACGCCAGCACGTAAGCTGGACGTCTCGTTCTCGCTCAGCGAGGCGGTGATGGCCATGGAAAAATCGGAGACGATTCCGAAAGACCACAAGTTTGTCATCAGCAACGTCAACAACCAGACACTGAGTGTCTTCTCACAAACCGTCCGTGGGTATCTCTATGTGTGATGGTTTTTTGAAGACGTTTCCCGCTGCCGAAAGTGCAAGATGCTGATGAAACAATGTCCTTTGATAACGTACATTTGAGGAAAGGTCGGAAAGAATGTGTGCGATTGCGGGCTGTTCCTGATGAAATTGCATCGTTAAATGAGAATGCCTCTGGTTGCGCGGGCCGGGAATGGACTGGACTTCTTAAGCTGGCGGATGCTGCACACCGTGTTGTCCCTTTCTCAGTTTGTTGAGAGATAAACGGAGTTGGGAGTGGAGCCCTTCTGTGGCTGTCGAGTTAAACTCTCCCGCGCGACTTAGGATATTCCACCGTTACCCTCTCACTCCATGTTTGTTTTGACTCCATGTTTGTATTGAAACGATCATGCTTACAACCTCGTGTGAGGCGTAAGCAGCTTCTTCGGTTTGATTTTGCAATGACTTCTGCATCTATAATTGACAACATGAAAGAGTAAACAGTACGTGTCCAGTGGGGAGCTGCCGCATGCGAATGGTCTGTCGGTGCCGACGCCGGATGAGGTGTGCGTGCCGCCCAGGGCCGCGCCGTTCTCATGGCGGGGGTCGTGTCGTTCCAGCGCCAGCAAACAGCAACGCCGTGGTGCCAGAGACGGAGAAGTTGACTATGGAGGGCAAGGTCATCCAGAGGGCGGAGTGCCGACCGATCGGTGAGCGTAGAGACTGCTACCCTCGGGGAACGTTGTCGTAATTCGGAGTATTACTGAAGTTCGATGGTTCATCTGCGGGACGAGGCACATATTTTCGAAAACGGATTTATCCTTCTTGTGATTTTAAGGCGCGGTTTTTTGTGGTTCATGCCTCCGATTTCGGGGGGAGGCGGGGGAGCGACACAGCCGGCAGATTCCCTGAGAACGTATGAAGAACGTCAGCCGTGTTTGAGAATTCGGCCCGCGCATTGCGAGCATTTCACCGAACCTACACAAGTGATGCGGTAGCTTAAGACGCCAATGGCCGTAGCGGGTCATTTGCGTGCGTGGAGACGAGTGCTAACTCGTCTCAGCTATTAAGAGGAGACCTTCATTTTGCCCCAAAGTTTCAAGGTCCGCTGAGGCCTCAGTGCAGCCCCGACTGCTCGATATCTGGTTCAGCTGTCCACGCTGTGACGGACGCGCCATCATGTGATGTCACATGCCACCGCACGTCAGCTGACCGCGCCCCAAGTGACTCGGATCGGAGCGGGACGGACCCCGACCGGCGGCGGCCGACGCCGGCTCCTGTCCGCGTCCGGTCCGGCCTGTGGAGTGACTAAGTCTGCTGTTGCGCACTGTGTACCACGGTGTCATAGTTTGCACACGCACTCAGAGGCAGTGGCGCGAGCACTCGTGCGCAGTCACACACACATGCTTTCCTGTGCACGCGCGTCGCGCACAATTACGCGCGCGCCATCTATCTCCTCCCGCTACATTGGTACGCAGTCGCGAGCGTATGCCTTCGCTGCAGGAAACGAGACGTACATGCGTCTGAAGTTGGAGGGGTTCCGCAAGTCTGCTGTGCCGACCCGCATGGCCAAGCGACTGGATGACGTGGTGCACGTCAAGCCGAGGGCCAACCATCGCTACGACGTGAGAGGGGTTTGGCAGTGGGCGGACCGGACCGGACCGGACCGGACTGGACTGGACTGGACTGGACTGGACTGGACTAGACTGGACTGGACTAGACTGGACTGGACTGGACTGGACTGGACTGGACTGGACCGGACCGGACCGAACCGGACCAAGCCGGACCAAACCGGACCGGACCGGACCGGAGCGGCTGCGGGCGGCGGCGGTGCTGATGGCAACACTCGCCCAGCGGTCAGGAGAACAAGCCTGTGGCATCAGCTGAAGCCGTGCGGCGATTCGATGGTCGTTTGTGTCTCGATCGACATTCGTTTGCCATTGAGAGTTACGGCGACATGGTACGCTGTACCAAACACGATACAACCCCGTGAAGCCTTCGTGTTTGTGGGCGCTGTCGACGAGGTTTGTGTGCTTGTTCGACCCTTGAGTGTGGTGGTGGGCCGCGGTCGCTAGATGCTCGCACGACGCCCCGTGTCCCAGGTGGAGTTTGTCATGTACATGAATGTGAACATTTAACATTCAGTCTGAATAGATTAGTGATGCAATTTATGTAACGTGGTTTTTAACATGCGCGCTCACAAATCTTAGCATCAAAAACCCCGACACCGGGCGCTGCACCCGCCGTTGTCGGCGGAACGTTGGTGATCGCACTCAACTGCTGGGGCTATATGGCGTCGCCTGCCACTCACCCTGGCAGGAGCAGCGGAGCTCAGTGGTTAGCTTTTCGTCATGGCTTCCGTCATAACTTTTCGTCATGGGTGGACAAAAATGATAACGGTTCTGAAAAAGTTACATTTAAGGACTTGAATCGGTTAGTAATTATGGTAAAGTGACAATGTCGGGTACGCGTACTGGCAAACCTTAGTTTAAAAACCTCGACGCCAGGCGTTGCGGTCTCCGTAGGCCGCGCAGCGTCGGCTCAACAGCTAATACTAAGCCGTGGCCAACAGACGGACGAAAATGATGACGCTTCTGAAAGAGGTGCACCTTTGAACGCTTCAGGACATCAAATCTTACATCTACAAGGCAGTCTGGGCGCGTATTGCACGTGTGCGATTTTTAGACTGATGGTAAGAACGGATTGGCCATTAGAGCACCGCGAAGTGGTGCTGAAATCTGGCGGTGAAACTGAAAGAGCAAAGGTAGATCCTCTATTTTTTTGTTTTTGTAACTATTGATCTGTCCAGAAGACAGCTTACACTGCGCCCGCTGTTCGGTGGCACTTGTAGTGGCCGACGCCGTTCGGTTTTACGGAAGCTGTAACCCAGACCGCCACGTCAATGGGGCTTTACGACGCACTCAACTGCTGGGGCTATATTGCGTCACCTGCCTCTCACCCTGGTAGGAAGGTCGGGCACAGCGGGGAATCGAACCCCGTGCCTCTGGTTTCCCAGACGCGCAGTAGTTAACGCAGACGCCTTAACCACTACACTACCGGCACCCATTTGCAACCCAAACCATCGCTGCCCTTGTTCGAGGTTGCGGGCGAGCATGTTCAAACCTTTTGATGCACTTTTTCACAAGTCCATTCTGAAAAAAATGAACGTTCCTAGGCAGACATGGAATGGCCTTGTTCGTTCTTTTTTAACCTCATTTCGACCTACTCTATTCAACAATAATGAGACCTCCACTTTACTCAACATTAATTAGGCCACTTATTTCCTTCCGGGCACGGGGCCCCTTGAGTAAAGCACCAAGGGCACATTGCCGGTTCCGGTTAGGAGCTGAAGGGCCATTCCGTCCGATCGCGAAGCGTCTTCTGGCTGTATTCTAGCGACACAGGGCGGGATCTCCTGGTCGATCCGGAGGCCATTGGAAGGATATATCATATCACATTATTCCTTTCCCTGACACGGCAGGTCTGATCTGCGCATTTGGCCCCGGATCAGCACAGTAGCCCTCATTGACGCATCAACATCCCTGATCGCCGAAGGTGGTCCAATAACTGTCACACAGGCTCCAGTTCCGTGCTTTCTTCAGCGATAAGAAGGAATCCCTGAACGCAGATTGTATATGAAATGGGGTACTAAGTTTATATTGACATGGCTAATCCATATTAGTCTCAAAATGCTCAAGATGCAGTCGGAACTGATTGCTGATAAGAAACTATGCAATATGGTTTTGAACATACGCGCTCGCATGTCACAGCAACAGCAGTCTGATCGCCCGGCGTTGCAGTCTCCGCAGGCCGCGTGGCTTCGGCCTGCGGGAGTGATACTAAGCGATGGCCAATAAGCAAACGAACAAGATGACGTACTTGAGGAAGATGGCTGGTGAACTATGTAAATCGGCTTGTATATTTAAACGTGGCGCAAAAGTAAGCTAAACACAACCTGAATTTGAAAAGTGGGGTGGCGGGGGGCAGTCAACACCGCTGCCCCCCCCCCCCCCCACCTTGAAAAGTGGGGGGTCATGCCCCCTGCCCCCTATTCCTACGCTCATGTTTCCAAACATGAATATCATCGTTATGGGCACGTAGTTTGGAACTTTCCAGGTACTCGCATATTTATTCGCGATTTTACATAATTTAGTTACATTCAGCTGTTCGGTTATCGCTCTACTTCAAGTCAGTTCCCAGTCTCCTTGCCGACCTATTATCTCGTACCACCGTCCAACTTCCTGTATTATGTAGCACGAACGTGATCCAAATATGGCGACCACCCTTTCACTCTATCATATTTCTCGCATTAATCTACATTATAGCGACGCCCCGCCTATCCAAGGTAGGTTGCACACGCTAGCCACGTTTCGGTCCGAGCCCGTGGCCGGGGCCCACGTCCGCGCACGACGGCAGAGGGCTCCCACACCCCACAGAGGGTTCCCTGTGCGTGACAGCCTCGGCTGCTGGGTCATCTGAACCATGTAGCTCTGCCCTAACGCCCCCATTCTTCTTCGTCCCAGTCTTGATATGGTCATCACTGGCTTAAAGGACCTATCCAAACAGCCGACTGACCAAAGCGTGTCCGAAACTTGCCCTGAACGCATTACATTGGTTGAGTCAATTGAAGCTCGTTGGTGCCAGAAATCACGATGATGTACGTTAGACACGAATTCCTCGGTGATCATATCTGTTCTGGGCATTAAGTGCCATATGGCCAATGAGGTAGTCTGGTGACCAGAAGAGGTCAAACTTCACGGAGGCTAGTTCATACGCCGGTGTTCCGGCAGTGTTCTAATGTATGGACATTAATATTTTTGTACTCAAAACTCATCGCTGCTCAATTGCTATAAAAACACTTGCCGTGATCGCGGGTCTGCTTTTGAGGGTGCCCGTAGTGTCGTAGTTAATGCGCTTGTGTTAACCAGTGTGTGGGACACCAGAGGTACGGAGATCAATTCCCCGCGGTGTCCGCCCTTCCAGCCCAAGTGAGAACCAGGCGACGCCATACGCGGCTAAGTGCGTCGCAAAGCCCCGATGACGACGACGACGGCGACAGCCCTGCTTTCCTGGCGTAGAAAATAAGAAGCAGGATCCCATTTTTTTATCACACCCACCCAAGCCCAACATCTGGGTTCAGTTTGGTTCACGCCAAAGAACCAGGGGAAGCAGTGGTCTAATGTCAAGATTCAGCCAGTCTGCCATTTAACCACCATTAGAACCTGGATCCAGGCTCTGGTTTGGCAAAGAACTACCAGAAGCGAGGACTGAAGTGATCTAATTGCCAACAGCGAGTTGGAGAGAACCGGGAAGCAACCATTTACAAACCTAGAACATCTGCTCTTAGCCACACTGGTCAACTGGTAGTCAGCCAGGAGCTAGTCCTCACCTGTGACCTGCCTATGGAGGAAGTGATCAAGGTCTTGCTGAAGCTGGTGGTGGCATCCTTGCATTCAGTTTAAAACCAGTCTATGTAATGTGTAATGGCTGGAGCGACCAGCACCTCACTCTCAGCAAACATGTTCAGTGTTGACATCTGTGCATTGCCAATGAGCTTAGCACAAGCTGGTGACAGGCACAGGCCTCCCCCCATTCCAATTACACCATGTAGACCAGACTGGTGGCAGGCTCTTTCAAACACTACAGACTTGTGAGCTGGCTGAAACTGTAATTTTTGTTTTGTTCTGACATGGCATAGTTGTACACAGCCAATGGTTTGTATCTGTCACCCTTAAAATGTAAGGATAGCTGTAATAAAAGGTAGCAGTAAGTCAACTATGAGGATAATCCTGCAAATCCAAATTGATCACCAATGAGCAATGAAGTTAAGCATCAAACAGGTCTGACTCCAGTATCAATTTAGCAATTTGGATCTCCTGCATAACACAGTATTTCTAGTATACAATTTGTCAAGTAAGAGCACTTGAATACTACAAAGGAAGTGTGACCTTTCAACAAGCAGGAAAAAGCAATGGCAAAATGCTATCCAGACATTCAAAGTTCATTGACATCCCAGATTGAGCTATTGAGAACACATTAAGTATATTTTGGTAAAACTGCAAAACAAAAATAACCTAGATCAATGTCACCAAACTTGGGGACTTGAATGGATGGACACCTTCACATCATGCTCAGATTTAAAGCAGAATGCTGCAGCCAAAGTGGGAACTGTCCCAGGTAAATGACTGAAAAGTATTGTGTCATGCAATGTCTTCTCTTGATACACGCTCATCCATGCCGTAATGGCCGCGTGCCATTCAGCATTGTTAAATGTCACTGCGACTGACATGGTGCATTGAATTTGTCCTCCACTCCATTCTGCTTCACTTCAATTCACAACACAGCCAGTGCCTTTCCACAAACATGTATTAGCTAAGTGAAGCATGAACAATGCAGCTGAAGGAGGCAGAAAGCTCTCTGATGTCTGAGCCAGTCTTTACCTCAGCAGAAAGATCTTGTAACCATAACCCTCATATGAGAGCTCAGATGATGGACCACAGCTCAAGCTGTGATGTTCACATCATAAATTTTAGCACTCAATAACTGTATCAAAGAGTAAGCCAATATGCCTCCCACTGATACCCAGTACCATATCCTGTCTGGCAATGTCCTAGATTTAATAGTCTGAATCATAGTCATATTCTTCATCATTTACCTCAATGATCTGGAAGTTGACAGTATACCGCAGCATTCCACCCACACCACCAAACCCTCGTACAAACTGAGAGCCTTCTTGTGACCGGTCTGTGATGATCTCAAGAGATGCTCCAAAGGACTTGTAGTTGTTGGCAAGCCATTCCAGGAGTGCCATGGACTCAACCATCTCCATCTCCACACCAGATTCACTGTCAGTGAAGTGGGTTCTGTCCTTTTCCTCTTCAGGTGTCAGATGCAGTATCTTTTCTTCCCCACTTGCATGGTTTTTCAGCACAATTCTCTGAATGTCAAGATTCTCCCAGCAGATCAGTGTTTCTACTGCCCCAAGCTCCAGTGCTGACAAGGTATCCTTCACACCGAAGCAGTACTTCCCTGTGTCTTGGCTGATCTCATCAAAGTACCTGCCAATGAGCTTCTTTTCCTGGATGAAACTTCACATTTGCCAGGCTCTCTGCAGATAGCTCAATGGCTTGGTTGAAGCCATTCTCACCACCATAGGACACATCCACCAGCTTGATGATTGTTGCTTGAAGTCTGGGATCAAACATGTCAGACTGGCTCAGTTCTGTCTTGAAGTCTGCACTTCCAGCCAGGATCATGCCAGCAATGTTCGGCCTGTCATTGGTGATGAAAAGGGTCACTGCTGTTTCAGCGACCTTTCTCACATAGTTGTGTCTCTTCTCCATCCTCAACCGAGCAAATCTGAGAGCAGACTGTCCACCTCTGCCATGTTTCTTTGGCAAGTCTACTGTGAACTTGTGCAAGACGTCTCTGGTGTTGCCCTGCAGAGTTCCAAACAAGGCGCCATTTCCATCCATTATGATGAAGCCAAATTTGTTGTCATCAGCAAGCAGGGCTGACAGGGCCTCAGTATGGAACTTGTTGTCACAAAGGTACAGTGAGGTGTTGATTGCCTTGAATGGTTCAAAGTCAATGTTGACCTTCTTTTCCTTGCCCTCCTCTGTCACGATTGTGCCACAGTAGATGACAAGCCCATTTGCTGGGACTTTCGTGTACAGTTTCAGCCTATGCTGCACCGATGTGATCGCTCCAAGCACAGACAGCCGGTTCACTCTCGACTTGATGTTTGACGCGGTCCCAAACTCATCTGCCAACATTTTGGCCACCCGAGATATTTGGTCCCTGGGTGGTATGATCAGTGAGATCATGCTCGTTCCATTTCCTCGCGCCTGTTCCAAACTTTTAATGAGCTTCTTTATCTTCCAGATTTCCACATTCCTGTCTGCAGACGTATCCTCCGTCGAGGCCATATTGGGTAGTTTCACGTCGAGATGGCGCTTAGAGCCACCCGATCACCACCACCACCAAAAATCGACGCCGCAATTCTTGTAGGTACACTTCTGAGAAACACTTGGTTATTGCCAAACGAAATCACTGAAAACACTCCCAGAAACGTCCCAACCAGAGAATTCACGCCAACCACATGGCGCAACGCCGAGCGAAAGAGGTGGTCAGGGTTTCATTTGTCAGTGTCGCGCTCATCTTGTAAATTCATCGCGACTGGAAAACAATTTTCTAGGATTTGTCGCTCAGAATTTAAGGATATACAACAGAAAATAACAAAAATCATCTCATTTATCACAAAGAAACATTAAGGACCTCACAGTTTTGTAACCCTGCCAACAAATCAATTCGAATAAAACCGACCTCTTTGTTCCGGTTTTGACCAGCTCTGTAGCACTGACGCGTCATGCTTGCACGCCTCATTCTAGACATATTTCCTTTACTTTTTCTATAATTGAAATATTTGAGTAAATCAAATTTCAAATTGATACTTACATCAGCAATTTATCATCCAAGGAAATAAGATTGACATATTAAGCATGAACAATTTACGAACTTTTAATGTATGCTTTATAGACGCCTCAGCGGAATAAGCAGAGTGGCGCAGTGGAAGCGTGCTGGGCCCATAACCCAGAGGTCCGTGGATCGAAACCACGCTCTGCTACTTTTCTCCCGTAAAGGCATGGTTGCCGTCGTTAGAGTCCTGCCCCTCAGGCGTCGTTTTACTTACAGTGTCATTCATGGGTCAGCGTCTCAAAGCAGCACATGCAGGTCGGATGGTCGTAAATCACGGCTTCGAACCTTACGGGCTCCTGTGCTTCTTGCATTGCAAGCGGTCGGGTACGTGTTTGCCACTTTGGTTCCTACGCCTCTTCCGCGTTTCTCGATAGTTCTTCAGGATTAGCGCACCTCAGTAAGCCTGTCTTTGTGGGCGAGGCCATTTTCACGCTGTGGCGCATTAGGATTTTAGGCAAAGGGGCATCCAAATTTACAGCCCACAGACATCCCCCACCACAGGCACACTCTGCGGGCGTAAGGGGGCTGCTCCGAGTGTCGGAGCAGCCCCACTGCCTGAACACTCGGTATCGGGCTTAGCAGAACCGGGCTCTTAATTGCCAGTCAGAGACCGCTTTGTGCCGATTGGGCACCTGAGTTGATAAAGATCAACGGTTTGAGGGAACCGATGAGGGTCCAGAAGAGCCTCTAAGGACCGGCGTTCAAGGTTCCGATTGGAAGACCGCAGGGTCCCAAGGATCCGAAGGGCTGGCTGTAGGTCACGTAAAGGATCCCGACCCATGTAAGATCGTGACCTGAAATGTCGGTCAGATGGCATCTTGCACCGATTGAGGACCTTTGAGGCAATGCTTATGAGAACTTGCGATGAGTGTTCGCACTGAGACAACAAAAGGCCTCAAAAGACAACAACAAGAGGTTTTAGACTAGGGTGCAGTACCGAACGGGGATGGGGGCGGGGGGATATTCCACCCCAATCGAGCTCTAAGAGCTCGTTAAGCCGGACTGGTGTCTCTCTGTCAATTATTGAACCACCTGCGTCGATAAGGAATCGTGTTCCGTCAATCAGCGCTCCTGTGTCGATCCGGGGCCAACTGCTTAAGTCACAGGCCCTCCCGGGTCAAAAAAGGACTAGCGCATGATGTATCCCTCAAAGGGGCTCCAGATGGGCCGAGGAAACCAATACCCGTGTCGCCAGCATGGCAGCCGGTGAGCCCCCCGCGTTAGGACGGAATGGCCCTTCTGTAGTGCTTTACTCAGGGGGCAACTTGCCCGGAAAAGTAAGGGGCATCACAAGTGTTCAAAAGAGCAGGTCGAAATAAGGCCAGAATAACAAACACACACCATGCTTGCCTGAGGATTCAATCTTTTTCAGAACTGATAAGTGAAACAAATTGCACAAAACGGTTTTGAGTCTGCTGGCTCGCAATCTCGAAAGCCAGAACAGCGATGGCTGACGTTGCAGAGCCAGTAAAACCGAACGGCATTGGCCGCTGGAGGAAACACCAGGTGGTGGACGCTGTGCGCGCGAGGACGACCGTCGTGAAGGAATGTTTCTGAATATTTTCCGACATCGGCTCGCGTCGTCTAAAAATGAAACTTAGTGTGTTATTTTTTTTAATTTTGAGCAACTGGTGCGGCAACACGAAAAACGGGAATTCTACCTTTGCTGTTCCAGTTCCACCACCAGATTACAGGCTAATAGGCTCGAAAGGCCAATCTGCTGTAAATGCTAATCTGTTCTAATTATCAATCTAAGAACTGCACAGGTAAGGTGCACAGCTGGAATACATGCCTTCTAAATGTAAGAATTATGTCTTAAGTGAGCGTGTCATAGAGTCAATTTTTTAGCGGAGTCAGGACGGGCTCGCACATTCGGGTATCCGATTCAGCAGATGACCCATAGCCGTTCCCTTGTTTCATTCAGTTCAGTTCCAACCCATCGCTCGCGTTGAACAATTTGGTGCACAACTCACGCGGCTTGCAAAATCAAAGGTCCGATGCAGTACCGACTCGCTGCCTCATGACTCATGCATGCATGCATATATATATATATATATATATATATATATATATATATAACTTGAATATATACATACATACATTTATGTATATTGTGAAGAGAAACCTTCATCTGGTGCGCGGTGAAAGCGGCGAAGTGGGCGCAAGGAGCGAGGAACTGCGGAAGGAGAAACGTTTTTGGCGAGAGCGGTGTTGGGGAGAGAAAACGGCGAGGGGACGTGTAGTTGGAAGAACAGGGTGCCGAGCTGTGTACGCTGTTGGAGGCCAGCAGGAGTGACGTGCTGCGTGGCTCAAATACATATCATTTTTGAGATCCGCTAGGTGTTTCTTACAAGCTATTTCGGCGTATGCGCTCAAAACGGCGGAGCCTGGGAATTTGGACTTAAGAATCATTTCGGGGTTCAGTGGCCAGGAATCCGTTTTGGAGTGGCTCCATAAAGTGGACCTAGTGTGCAGAAGTGAGCGACCTGCAAAACGTGATTCCCCTCCGGTCACTGGTGGTGGCATTCAGCGTGTACCCGCAACTTTCTGATGAGGATAAGCAGAAGCCGAGCGAGGTAAAGCACGCCCTGATCACGGCTTTCGCCGTCGGCAAATTTGACGCATATGCGAAACTCGTCGCTGGGCGTCTCAGAGCGCGCGAAGTCGTCGACGTCTTCCTTGCAGACTTGCGCAGGCTGGCCAATCTGTTTGGCGGTTTGTCTGAGGCGGGGCTGATCTGCCTGCGCCTTCGTAGCTGGCTTGCCAGAGACCGTGCGGCACGCGCTGAGGGCCAGCACGCGCGTGGAGGCCCTGGGCCTGACTGAGGTGCTCGGCCGGGCACGCGCCCTGGTCGCGGAGGAGTCGGCAGCGGCGGCGGCCGCCGCCGCTGCGGCTACGGCGGGCGCAGCAGCGGCACCGAGCAATGGGGTCGGCTTCTCACGCCAAGGAGCGCGCGGCGGCGGCCGCGCCCAGCAGCCGGTATCCTGCTTCCGCTGCGGCGAGCAAGGCCATCTGGCTCGCTGGTGTCATCGCGACATCGTCTGCTTCAGGTGTAGACAAGGAGGTCACGTAGCGGCCCGCTGCCCGGGAAACAGGGGAGGCGTGAGCCCCAGTCTTCTCTCCGTGGTCGGCGTTGGTGCTCTCCCAACTCGGCAACTACGCGTTAACGGATCCGTATACAGTGCGCTGGTGGACACAGGTTGTTCCCATAGCCTCGTGCGCGCCTCGTTGTGTCGAGGCTGGCGGAGGGAACGCGTTGGCGTGCTCACAGTGAACGGCAACCGGTTTCTATGCGTGGGTAGCGGGTCAGCGCGTGTAGAGCTCGAGTGTGGCGCGCGCGCTGACGTCAGCGCTTTGATGGTAACTGCCAGGCCTGTGGGATTTAGTATGGCGTTGGGCATGGATGCGACCAAAGCGTTGGGTGGCGTCACTGTTTCTTCGGCAGGGTCGCAGTTTGGTGTCGCGTCAGACTGTGCTGCCGTGACATCTGGCACAGCAGAAGTGGAAGCGGCAGCCTTTCGCGCGCGTTACGATCAGGAGACGCGCCAGTGGACGATAACGTGAAAGTGGGCCGACGGGATCGAACCGGAGTGACTACAAGGGAATGGCGTGACAGAATATCGAGTTCCTCCGGCGTCTCGCGCGGAATGTGAAGAGGAGCTCCAGCGGTGGATCGAGAAGAGCTGGCTGTAGTCCTATGACGGGAAACAACTCGGGCCCGTGAAGGGGGCGCTTCCTCTTATGGCGGTGGTAAACCGCAACAAGGACAAAGTCCGCCCTGTGCCTGACTTCCGCCCTCTGAGCTCTCACGTGGATGCGCACACCGCGCATGCGCACACCGATGATGCGCACACCGACGTGTGTGCGGAGAAACTACGAGAGTGGCGGCGGTGCGGCGGTGCTGCGGCGCTGATCGACCTCCGCCGAGCATGCCTGCAGATCCGGGTTGACGAGTCATTGTGGCCGTACCAAACGGTCGTGATCCGTGGCGTCCGTTACTGCTTGACGTGCTTCAGGTTCTGTGTGAAGTCGCACCGATCGTGCTGCAGAAGTTGTTGGCGACGGTGTTGAGCTGGGACCCGGAGGTGGGGCGAGCTGCTTCGCCATACCTGGACGACATTTTCGTTGACGAGTCCGTAGTACCCGCGGAGCGCATGGAGGCTCACCTGCGTCGGCACAGGCTAGGCTGTAAACCGCCAGAGCGGCTGGCCAACAACGCTCGCGTGCTGGGACTGCGCGTGCAGGAGGAGGGCGCCCGTCTGATCTGGCGAAGAAACAACAAGATTGGAGGAGTCAAAGACCCACTCACGAAACGACAGGTGTTCCCGCTCCGCGGCCGCCTGGTCGGGCACCTTCCAGTGTTAGGTTGGCTGCGGCCAGCCGCCTCGTTTATGAAGCAGCTCGCGAATGAGGCGACATCGTCGTGGGACGAAGAAATCCCAGACGCGCGCGTGCGCCAGGCGGTGCAGGAGACCCTTCGGCGGGTCGACGAGGCGGACCCAGCCCGCGGTGGCTGGGACGTGAGCGGGAAGCATGCGCGCGTTTGGGTGGCTGCCAGTTCGGTGGCGGTGGGCACAGCCGTCGAGATCGGAGGGTAAGTGGTAGAGGACGCCTCCTGCCTCCGCCGAGATGAATGGACCAATATCAATAT